GCCATTGATCAGGGGATCTTTTTAAAAAAAAGTTTACGCAATTTAAATTATTCCTTGTGTCGCAATTTGTCCTTGAAGTTTATTGATAAATTTGATAAAAAAACAGTTGCCCAGCAGGTTGGTATATAAAAAAAAATAATTTTGTCGCGTGCCATCAAGTTTCATTAACATCATCACGTGGATATATCAATCAAATCTGATTGATAAAATTTTTATGATAAAAAAAGAAAAAAAAAAAGACACTATTTATTATTCTGCTTGAACGTACAATGTCTTTACAAACCTTGTTTGGTGGGTTAAAATTATTGAAGCAAACTAAGACACATGTCCCTTTTACAAATTCGAATCTCAGCTCAGTGTTGCGAAGTAAATGTACGGGAGAACTTTCATTATGTTTTCAAAAGTGTAAGTATCTTCTGAAATTGCGTAAATTTATTACTTTTGATATAAATTTATCTTTTTTTTTTTCTTAAACCATAGCTCGCAGTTACACTTCATTAAATGCATTAAAATTTGCACTGTTATATCCCAATTCACGGAATTCGAATTTTGGTTCCACGCATACTTTATTCCGCTTTAATAACATACGTAATTTTGCAATGAGAAGAAGTATGGAGAGACGCATATACAATCAGGAGGAGGAGGAATTAATTGAAGAGGAAGAACCTGTTGAGACGGAAATTGAATCTAATAATGTTTCTCAAGAAGAATACGTACCTGCTCGGTTTGATGATATCACTGCAATTTCACCTAAAACTCAAAAGGCTTTACGAGAAGAATTTCGATATACCACTATGTCAAAAGTTCAAGATGCTGTTTTATCACAATCCCCGATTGAATGCGATTTATTCGTAAAAGCTAAAACAGGAACTGGTAAAACACTAGCCTTCCTTATACCTGCGATTGATACAATGCTCCGTTTAAATCCAAAAAATGATGGCAAAACGGTTCAAATTATGATCCTTTCTCCTACTCGCGAATTAGCGCAGCAAATTGCTGCTGAGGCAGAAAGACTTACACGTTTCTATGACTTTAGAGTTCATTGTTTAGTAGGTGGTGAAAAAAGAGATATACAAATAAGGAGATTGATGCAATACAGAGCAGATATTGTTGTTGGTACCCCTGGTAGAGTTGAGGATTTATTACAAAGTCTGCCTCATTTTAAGAGACAATGCAGAGAGGTTAAAACTGTAAGTTGAATTGGTTGAATTATAATTTTAGAAGAAAAAAATATTGGCACTAATAAACATTAATTTGCTTTTATAGTTGATTCTTGATGAAGCGGACCAATTGTTGGATATGGGATTCCGGGATGCTATTGAAAGAATTATTGGCTATTATCCGAGGGATCGTCAAACTTTTCTATTTTCGGCAACTGTTTCACCTCAGATTCGTCAAATTTCAAAATTTGCACTTAAACCAGATTATACTTTTATTGACACAGTCGATCCTAATGATGTAAACACAAATACTCATATAAAACAATCGTATTCAATTGTTCCATATGATTCTCAACCCTTCGTTATCCGAAAAGTTATCAATGAACATAGGAAAACCCATAAAAATGGAAAAATTATTATGTTTTTGCCAACAAAAACGGGAACCATACTATACTCAAGTTACTTAAGAAGTCTTGGCGATATGGAAGTTTTTGAACTTCATTCGGGAAAGAGTCAAGATGTGCGTACCAGAGTATCAAATAAATTCAGAAATGCTAAAAGTGATGCTATCCTTGTTACCTCAGATGTATCTGCACGTGGTGTAGATTATCCAGGGGTTACTTTAGTACTTCAAATTGGTGCTCCATCTTCACGGGAACAATACATCCATCGTCTTGGACGAACTGGTCGTGCAGGCAAAGAAGGAGAGGGTATATTGCTTTTGGCACCTTTTGAAAAGGGTTTCATGCGAAATATTGAAGACTTACCATTACAGCCAGTTGAAGGTATTACTGAAGACAATGACAATAATACAGATCGAAGGGTTGAGGAAGCAATTCAAAGGCTTGACATGTTTGAGGTTAGAACCGCATGTATGTCTGCTCTCGGTTACTGTAAGTATTTTAAGTATATTTCAATCTATTCAGAATAGTAGACATTCTTTAAATCTAACATTGATTTTTATATTAGACACAGGAAAACTCAGTACGCATTTCATCAGGAAAGATGATCTGATAGATTCAGTTATGGATTTAGGCCGATCTTTTGGTACAGAAGTAAAGATAAGTCCTGCAGCATTGTCTAGGATTGGAATTAATCCAGGTGGTCGTGGAGGAGGTAGACCTGGAGGAGGTGGTAAATTTGGTGATCGTGCACCAGGTCGATTTGGTGACAGGAAGTCCTTTGGACGTTTTGACGATGATTCGCGGCCTCCAAGATACTCATTTGATCGAAACAATCGTTTTTCACAACGTGAATCCCGTGACCGTTATAAATACTGATAAATTAATACTCTAAAAAGCAAATATTTAAATATTATTTATAGATAATTTGGTCTCATATATATATATATATATGTATGATTTTTTTATGTTTATCAATCTTATTTTTTTATTAAAAAACTAAACGAAGAAAAAAAAATGTACATTTGAATCATGATTTACAATTTACAAAACTATAATTTATTATTATTTACTAAAAACAGTATCTCTTGGTCACATGAACCACAAGAATGCAAAAATCGAGTTATATATATACTTTTTGTTATTTTATTTCTATTTCTATTTTATATTATTTTTATATTATTTCACTGCACTGAACTCGCATTAATTTTACAATGAAAGATAAAAAATTAATTTTTTTAAATGAAATTCTAAACTTTCTAAACTTGGAAAATTTAAATAATAATTTATTAATTATAAAACAAAAAAATGTAATATTAAAATTCTTGGTCATTAATTATTAGATAATTTTGTAATTAATTCTAACATTTGTGTCATTTTTTTTTCCATTAAAATTAATTTGTTCTCTAAATTATTCTCTATTGACTTTAAATCTGTTTTCAAATATGATATTTCGTCTTTTAATTCACCATTTTCAATTATAGTAAGTGAAGGCGATAAAGAAAATTCATCCTCTGAAGTTGATGTATAACTACTATGTATTTCCATTTTATTTACTCTATTACTTTTATTTATCTCATTTCCACATTTTTGAAAAGAAACTTGAGATTTTTGATTCCAATCAGATGCGTCCTCGTCGCTATCACTATCATAAGGATCGGAGTGTTTAAACGATTGTATTGTAGAAGAATTCCTATTAATATTGGAAAATGAAGTTGATGCTTTGCATAGTTTATTGTATTCTTGACATTTTCTCAACCAATCTGCGAATTTATTTGATTTTCCAATATAATAAATATGTCTTGGATTTCCTTTTTTGTCGCCAAATAGTTTTTTCAAAGTTTCGTATTCGGCTATTAATTCAGCTCGATAAAGTAGTACAGCGTGACGACCATCATCTTTTGCATCATCAAATACACCTCTAAAATATAGTAATTATTATTTATTTATTTATTTATTTAAATTATTCACATTAATATAATAATATTAATATTAATAAATATAATTTTATTACTCACGTCATGAACGCAATTAACATATTTTGCATAACAGTAATCAATAACACACTCGAAACGAAAGCCAACAAATCAATTGGCCAAAAAGTCCATTGATCTAATTGATCCCATCGACCGTTAATCCAAAAGTAAACTGCTTGAACAGATTTTGCGAAATTAGAGAAATAATTATCACTGGTTTGATCAACGGAGAACACTTGATTTATTTGATAATCTGAAAGTTCATCATTGTTGTTGACATTTTGAATTTTGAAACTGGATCCATTAGGTATTAGACCTATAGCATAAGGATTCCGAAGTAGAATATACCTTATTTGTTGTCGTTGTTGTTGTTGAGTTGAAAAAGAGAATAATAATTTACATGTTAAATGTTAGATGTTAAATAATTTAAATAATATATAATTTAAAGCTTACATTGCATGTCCAAATCTAAAAATAGGTGAAATTTAAAATTAATTATTGTTGAATAAATAATAAATAATAATTAATAAAATAATAAATAATAAATAATAAATAATAATTAATAATTAATAATTAATAATTGATTAATACAAACCCTAAAACGACAATAAACATAAAAGCAATAAATGGCCACACGTTTTTCATAATATTTATAATGATATAAATATAATTTCCAGTACCTATTAATGAATTTAATTATTTAATTTATTCTAATTTATTAATTATTCAATTATGTTTAAATTATTAATTAAAAACGAACCTGAGAAAAACCTTAATAATAAAAACTATTCAAGCAAAACAAATCAATGTAAAAATATTAAATATAATTAAATATCAAAAAAAAAAAAACAAAAAAAAAAATCAACTCACTAATTCCATCCACATAACTAGCACCGTAAATGCTACTGCTATAGTAAATTCTTTTTCTTGAGCTACAGTAGTGTTTCCGCTATGTATCACTAGTCCGGAGGTATAAGTGCATATTGGCATAATGACAGATGCGAGATCAAAGAAATTATAGACGCTTATGTATTGCTTGATACCATTATGTTTCATTTGTATAATTTCTTAATGAATTTTAAAAATTTAGTTTATATTTTATTCCTTTTTTTTTTAAAAAAAAAAAATAATAATAATAATAATAATAATAATAATAATTCTTGTTATTTCTTTAATTTCTTGAAATTAATTACCTGAAGCCAATAAATAATATCCAAGATAATAAAATATCGAGGTCAAAAAAAATATTATTATTTTCATTCCAATATCTGTATTATCCTGACTAATCTGTCCAAACCAAGTATTCTTTACTGCTCCGGTAATAATTCCAAATAACATTGCAAATGTGAAATAAAGTGCTGCATGTCGAAGAAAATGATTTCTAGCTGCTCCCCATTTGAAATCTATTACAGCTTCTATAGCAGGATTATCAAACGTGATACCATTTTTATCGCGTTTTATTACACGCAGAAATGGACTTAATTTTGATTCTTTTTTTACTATATAACTACGTGGCCATATTAATAATCGAAGTAAACGCATTGGAAGACCTAGAAGATTTACTTCTTGATCTTTTATTTCTTGTGGATAAACGGTAAAATCTGGAAGTGGAACCATACGCATTGTTACCAAAGCTGATGAATCTCCATGATCTAAACCAGGTATAACCTTTTGGATTTTTTGAAAAGCTGCTAAATGTTGTGTTTGTGATAAACTATAAATAAATAAATAATAAATTAATTAATTATAATTATAATATTAAATAAATTAAAGTAACAAGTATGTATAGTATATTAAATATAATTTACCTAATCTTTGATTTATCAATAATATTAAATATTGGATTAAGAAGTTTTATTTTTCGCATTCTTGATTTCTCTGGTTTACTTAAAAGTTCTGTACTTGGTTCAAAAGCTCTTATATATTTAGACTTTCCTTTAGGTAAATCATTAGGTGAAAGGTACGACTCATCAATGTGTATTTCTTTCGCTCCAAATATAGGTTTACAGAACAATTCCGTTATATAAGAGTCTTGTAAATAATAATAAATAATTTAATATTTAATTAATTAATTAAGTTTATATATATTTATATATATTTATAAAATGTGTCGAAATACTTGTGTAATGAATTGATTTAATATAATTAATGTAATGTAATATAATGTAATTACCTAAATGATGTTCAAACAATAAAGATATAGATTTACTGACAGTAAACATCCATCCCGTATTTTCCATAGCATTATCCGTATAATAATTCAAAAGAAATCCTACCACAACTGCATCACGATATTGTCGTTTTCCTTCACTACACTTAATTGCTATCTCTAAATCACTTGTTTTAAGTTTCTTTGGCCATTCAAACATTCTCGGTGTATGCAAAAATTTATTATTTTGATTATTTTTATAATTTAATGAATCAATCAACAAATATTGAATAAGATTAATTCGTCGTCCTCGTAATAAACTAGCCATAACATTATATCGAACTTCAATTAATCTCCATATCGATGGATTTTTTTTGATAAATTTAAAAACAATTTGTTCGGTTTGTAATATTAAATCTTCATATTGTTGTTGTTTCGTAGGTCCAGCTGGATCATCCCTTCGTTCATAAAGATAATGAAGTGCACTACATGCATCATTTATGGTATTAACATAATAAGGCCAATGAAGATTTACTATCATTTCATCCCAATATACATTAGGTGATTGATAAGATAATTCAATTTTGAATTCCTGATGTCCAATCTCCAATGATTTTACTGTTAATTTACGATTACAACAATTTGTCCAAATATATTTCAAAATACTTTTATTCTCTTTTTTATACCATACTTGAACTGTGGTTTCTCCAATAGTAAGTTGCAAAGTCTTTTCTTCATCCAAGAAAGCTGATATACGATTATAATATTTATTATTTATCCAAGGTTCTTTATCTTTATTTTTATCAATTATAGTAGTATCTTTTTCTTTAATATCGGCATTATAATACTTTCCATCTTGATGAAATACAGTGTGTGGTACAGCTTGTGTCCATTCAGAATCTTTAAGATATTGAAGAGGTAATTTTATGAGTGGTTTCTCGGATTTAGGTTGTGGTTTCAATATATCAATTAAAGAAGGATGTTTCGCTATTGAAATAATTTTTCCTTCTTGATTAATTACTAACATTGTATCACAAGCTCTAACTAATTTAATATTATTTGTGGAAAATATTTTATTGGTATCTTCTAATATTCTCGTAGAATTTTTCATATAACTAAATAGATCCCAACATATGATTATTGGTAAAGAATTCTTGTTATCTTGTGCAATAATAAATAATGATTCATCATCATTAATGAAATCCAAAGAGATAATTTTTTCTATTTGAGGAAATATACGAGTTGAAACCTCAAGACTATTTTCCATAAGATACAAAGTGATACTATTAGCGCCGTGACAATATGCAAGTAAATTTTTGTTTCTGGAAATGGCAATGACTGGATTTCCACATCCAAAAACAGTAAAATCGGATTGTTCTCTCAGGCGAAAGACCATTTCTAATTTACAAGTTTTTAAATTATACATTTGTATAACTTGATTTCTATCTTGATAATCTTCAAATAGAAAGAAATCATTTTCTATACTACGAGATAATAATTCTAGGCAAGAAGTATTTTGATATAATTTTCTCAGTTCAGCTTGAATTCTAGGAGGAAACAAAAATTCTTTCAGAGATGCAGAATTTCGATAGAAAGGTAATTTTTCCCACATGGAATTTGATTTTTTCATAATAATATTATCTAGATTAAAAACTGTTTTACAGATACCCGAAGCATTAATAACAAGTACATTAATTAAATTTGTATCCTTTGAAATATCATCAAGGAATTTCACCAATCCTCCAATATTATCTAAAGCGGTCATAATTCTTTCTTCATGCCAAGATGAGATAATCCAAGTAGTAATTGGAAAAGATCTCAAGAAATTTCTCGGACCTTTCTCTTCGTCAGATAATTCAGTTTTATCATCACCACTTGAAGAGGAATCCTTAAAAATCATCATATCTCGTTCATCGAAGCATGATAATGCTATTAAGGTTTCTCTATGTATATCGCCACTTTCCAGTTGAATGTCAATAGAATTTGCGATCGCCAGCGACCAACAAATTTTACTTTTTGGTTCAAAGTCTTTTAAAGATTCGCATTTTACAGTTCTGAACTCATCTAAATTATCAACTTGACAAGTTTTTAATTCCAAAGTGACTTGATGTAAAATATAAACAAAAAATTAAAAGATTAATTAAAGTTTATCGAAAAAAAACAAAGGGGGGATTAAATAGAAGATTTACCAGTATTAAGAATAGCCACATTTTGACCGTTAGGACTAACTGCTATATGATAAATGGAACTTTGAGAAACCTCTTGTTCATTAATAAGTTCTTTTAAAATAATCTCGGGAATTTGATCAAATTTTTCATAAGTATCCATTCTTTAAGAGTAAATATGAATTTTTATCTTTATGTTTACGAAAATAAGGGAGTTTTATATTTATATTTAAAAAGAAACGAGGGATTAAGAATGATGAGAAAACATGAGAAGTAAGGAATAAATATAAGATATCAATGAAAAAAAAAATGAATGTAATTATATAGATAAAAGATAAAAACAATGTTAATAAAGAATGGGAACTGTTGACGACGCATATAAATAATCTTCATCCCATCCTATTTTGAAGAATAAAAAAGAATAGTACACAAATGCATGCACAAAATAAATTTATAAAGGATTAAAATGCATTTAATTTGTTTTCTATTATAATTTAAGTAAATTCACATTATTGAAGAGTATTACAAAACTAGCAGTAAAAAGGAATATATCGAAAAAAATTATAAAAAGAATTCTTAATTTAAATAAATAATAAATAATTAATTATTTGTTATTTTATGCATATAACCAAAACTGAGAAATTGAATATTTATTTCTTTGAATAAATATGTAAACAATGAAATTAAATAAATTACCTAAAATGCATTCGAATAACCTAATTTGACAAAAAAACAGATTATCAGTCAAAGATAATTTTTCGATGTGTAAAATTTTATTTATTTATTTCCTATAATTTTTCATTATTTTTTAACATAAAAAAAACCATGACATCAAAATTGGCATCAAAGTTACCAATATCAGCTCTTGAGTTTTCGGATTTAATGAAAAAGATACCTCTAAGAGAAAGAGAACCGCTTGGTATAAAAATATATATATATATATATATATAAAATAACTAATTTTTTTTTTTTTCAATTTTATACTTTCAATAATGCATATTATTTATTTGATATAATTATTTAGGTATTGCTGTATCAGGAGGAGTCGATAGCGTGGCATTGTGTTATTTATTAAATCGATATTGTGAAGAAAATAAACATAAACTTACAGCTTTCATAATAGATCATCAACTTCGTTCTAATAGTACAGAGGAAGCATCACATGTTGCAGAATTATTAACAAAATTAAGTATATATCTAAGGAGATTAGTTAATAATCATTAGTATTTGATATAATTTTAAATTAATTAATTTATTTATTTAATTTATTAATTTTATTAATTTTATTTATTTAGATGTTGATTCAAAAATAATGCAAATACAATGGAATACAAAAATTGAAAGTAAATTCTCTCCATCACATATTCATAATTATCCTAGAACCAGTCAATTAGAATTATTTGCCCGTAATGAACGATACAAATTATTGGCAACCGGATGTCATGAGAAAAATATATCTTTATTATTCTTGGGTCACCATTTAAATGATCAATTAGAAACTTTAGTTATGAGATTAGCGAGAGGTAGTGGTATTGTTGGATTGGCTTCCATGGAAACAAATAATAAATTTCCTGTACAAAGAAATATCGAAGCGTTAAATATAAATGTTGTTAGACCAATGCTCAGGGTTCCAAAGGCAATAATAATTATTATTATTATTTATTATTATTATTTATTATTATCATTTATTATTATTATTTATTATTATTATTATTATTATTATTATTATTATTATTATTATTATTATTATTATTTTATTTTATTAATTTATTACTTTATTAATTTAGGAAAGAATGATTGAAACTTGTAAAGCTGCAAATATTCAATGGTTTGAAGATCCCACAAATGAATCGGATCAACATAAGAGAAATGTTGTCAGAATGGTATTAAATACAATTAATCAACGATATTTGGATGGTCATAAAGAATATGAACCTATTTCAACTCAAGGATTACTTAGATTTATGGATCATATGGAATACCATAAAAAATTCGTGAATTTACAAGTTAATGAAATATTATCAGAATGTGTTAAATTTAATTATCAAATTGGATTTTGTAAATTATGGTTACCTAAAAAATTATCTAAAAATCATTGGTTTCGTCAAAAACATCTTGGTATTAGAATAATTTCAACATTAATTCGTTGGGTTACTTGTTCAGAAGCAGCTCCATTATTAGAAGGATGTATTCGTTTTTATAATCATTTAACATTATCTTATGAACAATCCGTAAATGAAAATTTTTCTGCTCAAGGCGTTCTTTTATGTACTGGAAAAGAACAAGATTATAAAAATTCAAATATGAACTCTTGGGTCTTTTATAGACAACCAATGAATAAAGCTGAAGAAAAATTAACCATCAATATTATAAAAGATAAAGAAATTATTTTATGGGATAAAAGGTTTTTTATAAATTTAAAATTAAATAAAGATGACAAATATTATAAAAATAATGAAAATACAAATTATCTAATTAGGAGATTTAAAAAGGATGATTTTCCAATTGTTTCTCGACAACTTCTTAAGATTAAGGCAAAGTCAAATAAATGGAAGATATTTCAAGATTATAGATCTAATGTACATGTAGTAGCAAGACACGATATACCTGTTTTAATTCGTAGAGATAAGAATGCTGAACCTCCTTTACAAGATAAATTAATAGCGATGCCATCTTTAAATATTTCCTTTTCTCCGGAATATGCAGATTGTTGGGCTGAATTCCGTGGACAAATTTACTAATAAATAAATATATTCCTTTCATTTTGATTATTTTAATTCAATAATCACTCATAGCTAGCTTCTCCAATATACATTGACACTTACAATTCTTATATTTAATAAAATATATAAATGCGACTTTTTTTGAATTATTTTCATATAAAAATAATTATTGAAAAGTAAAGAAGTAAAGTCAATTTATGTCACCATCTCGGAACTGTGAAAATCTGTAATCAAGAAAGTTATGACCAGAGGGATACAAAATTCATTGGAATTCCCTTTCATATATACCTTGTAAAGGATGTGGGACAGGATAAGAGTCTATTCAATTAAGATTCACATCGATTTGAAAATTCCATTCATTTTTCTCATTTCCAATATTTAGGGTTGTTAATAGAACATAATGGGTTGGGTTGGGTTCATATTATAGCGGAGCAATGGTCAACCCATCCCAACCCGGGTTAAATGTATCACTGGTACTCCGCGGGTTGCTCCGGGTTGCTCCGGGTTACTCCATGAAGTAATAA